AGGCATAGGTGTGGTTGTCTTTAGTTATGCTATCTTAGTTTTCTTTAGTTGGGTCGTTACTGTCTCTGGTTTGTTCTAAAAGGGTTAATCAGGTTCTCAGGTGGGATGCCGCCTGCTATGCTGTATTGCATAATTTTGTCTTTTAACTAATGTTGAAAGACGGGGGCTACCTGGCCCTAAAACTCTAAAAAAAATAAGATTAAGTCCACTTTTGACCCCTCAACTATAGGGTTCGTCTAATTTTAACCCTCAACTACAAAACCGTCTAGCGGTGATACCCCAAGTCCCCAACTGTCAAAACCGTTCACTTTTAGCACCTGGGTGCGGGCATGGCTGTTTTGTCCTACGTGGAGCGGTTTGACCACGCCACACTGACATTGACCGCCACGTAGGATGCCAACCTCCATCTTAGTGACATGTGGGGCCCACTCATCACCTCCCTCCCCTCCCTCTTGCGCCGTTGCCGCGGACGCTTGCATCGCGGGTGGGGCAGCTTCGACCACGGAGCTCCTAGTGCGACCGCCATCCATGGATGACGACGAGGAAGAGGAATACGACGTGCTGCCGCCGTCAGTCCGCATCCGCTTGGGCTCCCGTGTCGAGTCCGTGGACGACGGGTCGGCCGACGCCACCACCGGCGAGGGGATCGGCTTCAGGGCTTAGGTGCTGCTGGACGAGTCGATGGCGGGCAGGAGATCAAAGTAGCCAGCACCGGCGGCAGCGCCACTTATGACGGTGGACGAGGTGGACGCGCGCTGCCGCCGCAACTTGCTCGAGCGCCATCGCCCTGCTCGCGAGCCGGCGGGAGAACGCTCCGGCGCTCGATGGCCCAGGATGAGGCATCGGAGAGGTCGACGGGGCGGAGGAGGTGCTGGTGGCCCAAGGAATCGGCCTGGGACAGCTTAGAGGCGCGGATTTGGGGCGGCGGCACAGTCGGCCGGAAGAAGAGGAGACGCCGGCTCGTCGCTTTACCGTCCGTCGCCTCCGCGGTACTTCTACGTCGCCTCCGCTGGACTTCTACGTCAATCTGCCAGGGCGGGCAAGCCGATCCTCTGCGCGTCGCGCCACGGCGAGCCCAGCTTGCCTCGCTGCGCATGAGAGGAAGAGGTGGTGGTCCGTGTGCCCTGGCAGGCGGCGGGTTGTCCCAGCCACCGGTGCCGCCCGCCAGCCTGGGAGAAGTGGACGCGCACGAAGCGCGTGAGGTCGGCGAGGCGGACCCCGACGTCCAGTAAAGCGTCGCCGCGGGCGGGGGGGGAGGGAGGAGGGCGGACTGCCCTCCGTCCCACCCGAGCACCGAGCAAGGGAAGGGAGAGGGCGAGCAAGAGAGGGAAAGAGAGAGAGAGAGAGTCGGAGGGAAGGAGGCGAGGAGGGCGGCGTGTGTGATGCAGCGAGATGGAGCAGGCGGCGGCGTTCACGGAGCGAGAGGGATTACAGAGAGAAGAGGGAGCGAGAGGAGATGGGAAGAAAAGCAAAGTGCGAAGAGCGAGCAAGGTGGCGGCGTGACGACGGCTCGTGGCCACGGCTACGGCGCGGTGGAGGGCGTTGGGCGACTCCGTGGTGGTCTTGGGCTGCGTCGGCGCGGGCAGGGAGAGGGAAGCAGGGAGAGTGGAGGAGGAAAGGGAGAGAAGGAGAAGGAGGGCAGAGGAGAGCACGACGCAAAGCAGAGGAAGATGGAGCTCGGTGAGGCGCTCCTGGATGGTGGCCATGGCTGGCTTTATAGCCGCGGAAGGTCTGTTCATCGGAGATTTTTATCGACCGCCATGGCAGGTCCTCTTCCACGAACTTCGGCGGCGGGCGAAGGCGAAGGCGTGGGAGGAGGGAACAACAGGCGGGACAGCGCGGCGGTGAAGTGGACATCGTCGAGCCCAGCATCCGCCGTGGGCGCGGGCCCCACATGTCGCTGAGATGCAAGCCAACGTCCTACGTGGCGGTCAACGCCAGCGTGGCGTGGTCAAAACCGCTCAACGTCGGTCAAAACAACATTGCCCCCGCCCAGGTGCTAAAAGTGAATGGTTTTGACAGTTGGGGTACCGGTACTAGACGGTTTTATAGTTGAGGGTTAAAATTAGACTAACATAAGAGTTGAGGGGCCAAAAGCGGACTTAATCCAAAAAAAATATGGTTGTCAAATATTTGAAAAATGCATGTCTAGCATTTGAGCATAACCACAAACACTCATCCATCCACTATGCTTGATTCAACAATAAGCAAGTAGACAACTCAGTATTCAAAACATGAGGATGCTGACAATGTTTTAGTCAAGTTCACATCTCAAACATGGAACTACAAGAATGTGGTACTGCAATTCATTAAACAGATCCTAGTAATGCAAAAATAGGTGAACAAGTGTGATCATCCAACGGACATGACTGAAGTAGCTAAGTAACATAAGCATGAAGAAACAATTAGAAATCATCAACATAGAAAGGTGGCACTGTCAACAAATTCAGAAGCTTTAGAAATCATGAACATAGAAAGGTGGCACTGTCAACAAATTCAGAAGCTTGGCATTTGGAGCATCCCTAGGTGTTTTCTGTAAGGTTGTACTGGATATATATTAGCGCTCAACAGTATGATAGTGGAGATACAAGTTCACCGCTGCCAAAATCACCACCAATATCATCGCTGGAGAACCAAACGCTGCTGCCTATGCCTAAGCAAGTCTAAAATGTTGCCTTTCTTCCCTTGTGCCTCCCTCCTAAACAACCAGCACACCTCCAACACCTGCAAACGCCAGCCTTTTACATGGGCTTGCCCCGATCAGTCGTTGTTCATCCTCCCAAGTGGCCATAGACGGAGGCCACGGTGACCAATGCACAAGGATTTGGGGGATCAGTTTGCGACCAAGTTGACAAAGGGTCAAAGGCAATGATCCAAAATGGACAACAGAATTTGCAAATTTAGATCAAGGTCAGGAATGAAGGGCGGGCCTGGTGCAAGCGGTAGAGTCTTACCGCCTGTGACCGGAAGGTCCCGGGTTCGAGTCGCGGTCTCCTCGCATTGCACATGCGAGGGTAAGGCTTGCCACTGACACCCTTCCCCAGACCCCACACAGAGCAGGAGCTCTCTGCACTGGGTACGCCCTTTAGATCAAGGTCAGGAATGGTGACATTGACCTGGTGTGTTGGTCCCTTCACCAATTTCAGTTGGGACACATGAAACACCAGATAAACTAGATTGAGGAAGCCGAACTTCATATGCCACTGCATTGATTTTACTGTTGGCAGGAAAAGGCCCAAAATAACGAAATGAGAGCTCGTAGTTGGATTGGACACTGCAGAGTTCTGAGCATATGACTGAAGTTTGACAAACACCAGATCACCAGCATTGAAGCTACGTTCAGATCATTTTTTATCTGCCTAATGTTTGAAGCGCTGCTGTGCGCGTTCAAGATGTTGCCTGACCAGTGCCTGCATGAGTTGGCGCTCCTCCAACCATTCTTGAAGATCTGGAACACTAAACAAGGACAATAGCAAATGTCCAGGAGAGTGTCAATATAGTACCTCAAAAGGAGACTTCCTCGAAGAAGAATGGAAGCATGTAGTATACCAATACTCAGCAAGATAGAGCCACTTCCCCTACTGTTATGGACAAGCATGTACAAAGCACCTGAGATATGTCTCAACACGCCGGTTTACCCTTTCAGTCTGCCCATCAGACTGAGGATGATAGGAACTGCTCATACTCAGTTGTGTGCCTGCCAAATTGAAGAGGGCTTGCCAAAGGTTACTAGTGAAAATACGGTCCCAGTCTGAGATAATGGTTTGGGGCATCCCTTGATGCTTATAGACATTCAGCATGTAGGTTTGAGCAATAGTCATAGCTATAAATAGATGAGTATGGTAGAAAATTGGCAACTTTAGAGAGTTTGTTGACAACAACCAAGATCCATTGGACTACTTGCCAAGAATGTTCAGGTACTGGCAATGGTAACAGCAACCCTGGATACTTCACATGCTCTGGTTTAGCTTGTTGACAGACCTGACACCGTGTGACGAAGTCATGGACTGACTGCTTCATTTGTGGCCAAGCAAACATTGCCTTAATCTTCTGTAAGTCACTGGAAAACCAGCGTGGCCTCCCAAAGGACTGGCATGGAGAGCAGAAATGAGCTTGAGCTGTAGTGCACTATTGGCACTAATCTAGAGTCTTCCTTGAATTCTTAGAACAGCTTGCTGAAGAGTAAAGTGTGGAACTGTTTTACCCATTGCAAGCTCAGCAAGGATTTGGACCGTGGCAGGATCAGTAGAGTAACCCAGGATAACCTCTTCCAATCAAACTGGTTTGCTGACAGAGAGAGCTGACGGTTGTTAACCTTTGACAAACAATTAATTTAAAACTTTGTAGATTACACCATACAAATTTGGTATTATCGGATTCATATTTGAAATTTTGAAAACACTTCCATATGTAAAATTCATAGTCACAAACATTATAATATATGAGAAATTAATGGTCAAGTCACGATGTTAGAGACCATGCTGGGTCAAACCGCGCCTTACAAAAATAAAAGGAGAGTATGATACTGTTTAAAATGAATGAGCATCTGACTGTATTATTTATCAGAACAGTTCAATCCAAGAGAAGCAAACCACATGTTATGATAGTAAGAGCTACAAATGCTATAACATTGTTTTGGGATATAAGCTGCATAAAGGAGCTAATCCTAGAACATTCCTAAGTCAATCATATGGTGCCCTAGGTTCCAAACCTACAATTGTGGGAAACTGAGAATAAAGATGTGACTTCTGGTACAAGCATTATTTTGCCTAATCTGCAGAGCTGCCACTTCACTTCTCAGATGGCTTCACATTTGAAGATGAGACACTGGCTTTTTCAATTCTTTAGTTATCTTTAGCTACTGAACTGAGAGAAACGGCAACTGTACACAGGATTTAAATTGTAGTTGCATGTGCAATGAGCTGACCTGAGTTTCAACAAAACAGATGCACCAACTATAGTTTGTCTCCTGAATCCTGATCAGTAAATCCACACTCCAATTATACAGCCAGCATGTTGTCTGAGTTGGAGCACGGTCGGCCAATCAAAGATGCAAACCGATCATGGAATTTCAGTAAAGGACACTTATCAATAAGGTTACTATTTTCATAAGCCTCCTTGAGGAAGACTGTGCTTCTTGCTCCCTTGTTAGTGATGTAGAAGATGCCATGACTTTTCACCAAACAAAGAAGTAATTTGCATGGAAGCCTGTACTCGTTGTGAAATATATCTAGCTTATCAGATGTCAATCGCCTCTCCATTGTCAGGCTCAAAATCTCATGCAGAACAGCAATGGCACGCTTTCGAGCCTGTGGTGTTGCAGACTCGACTCGCCTAGCATTCAAATAAGGTGAAGGAAATGCCATCTTCTGCCACCTGACAACCTCCTCAAGGTACTTCCGGTTTGGCCTAAATCCTGCTGGATACTTCAACTTGAAAGCAAAAGGACCCAAGAAATTTCCATCTTTAGGAATCCCTCTACGGCCTATCTGGGAACCCTCAAAATTCATTTTTTCTTCTCGTATTGTGACTGCTAGTGAAGAGTCCCAATTCTCCAGACACAAATGGTCCAGTCCCTTCACATCACGGATTGAGAAAAAATCAGGGTACCTTGGAATCAAGTTGCTCTTGAAGTTCTTAGGTAAGCCCAGTTCAGACTGGATTAGTTCAATCTTCTCCAGAGGAATCTGGCAGTCCATCGACATCATCAGTAACTTCCTAAGGTTTCTCACCAAGATTGGCTCCATTAGCTCTCGCGCTTCAGCCTCTTCACTGGATATCTTTCTGGCCTTCTCCGTAAGTGTGACAGAAATGGGCTCTCGGGAAGCACTTCCACCAGAGACATGGAAGATATTGGGGTGGCGCTCAATAAGTGAAACAAAGTTCCATTTTTGGACAAAGCCAACCTCCTTTTCAAGGTCACGTACAAGTAATGACCCTGTCTTTTGTGCCAAAATGAGGTCACGCAGATGAAGGAGAAGAGCAGGCTTCTTTTGAAGATCCATGGCCTTGTCAAGACCAGGTTCTCGGTGATATAGCTTCTTCTTGGGTCGGCGTCCATGGCCAGCTGAGAACGAGGACATAGCATTCAGTTGCATAAAGGGAAGAGGTCTGGGAATCAAATATACATGCTGTCCCAATCTTCTTTCCATCATTTATGAAATGAATACCAAGCTATGTAGTCACACCAGGTCCAAGCATTCAGACGTGCATATAAAGAAGCAGCACGTTGCAATTTAAATTCTGCAAAAAAAAAGAGTCAAAATTATATTCTCATCCATGTCAATAGCCTACTATTTGCATCTCAGGAATCAAACTGCGCAGGGAACATCTAATGTAAAAGGCAAAATAAAAAGGTCACTGCTTGCAGTCACCACATTCATAGTAATGACACTCTCCAAATAAAGCACAAAGTGAAGTTCAGGTTGGAGAATCCTCGCTCAACATGGGAAATTTGAGCTTATGTGGCAAGATGGTAGGAATTTCAATCTTTTTTAGGGGATTGGTCCAACACTTTCATCCCAATGTGAAGTGTGCTCCATAGACGTCATATTGAACTCACTAGAGACAGTGACGGAGCTGGCGAATCCACAAGCCTAGGGCCAAGATCTAAGTGCTTAAACCACCTAAACTAGGACAGATAACCATAGTCCCTCCGTTCCAAATTATAAGATACTTTGGCTTTTCTAGATATATTGCTTTTACTATGTATCTAGACGTAGGGTATATATAAGTACATAGCAAAAACTACGTATCTAAAAAAGCCAAAGCGTCTTATAATTTGTAATGGAGGGAGTAGCAAATAAAAAAAGGGCGTACCCAGTGCAGAGAGCTCCCGCTCTGTGCGGGGTCTAGGGAAGGGTGTTAGTGGCAAGCCTTACCCTCGCTCTGTGCAATGCGAGAAGACCGCGACTCGAACCCGGGACCTTCCGGTCACAGGCGGTAAGACTCTACCGCTTGCACCAGGCCCGCCCTTCGAGTAGCAAATAAAAGATGCAAGATTTAGACTACATCTCAATTGTAGGCTTAATTGAACAACACAGTTGATAAAATCTCCAAGAGCTACAAAAGAAATGCCTAACTAGTGCCGAGGATCAGCAAATCATAAAATGCATTTGCTCAATTGGTATGCATAGCCTAGGATCCAAGGGCGGACCCAGTAAAGGACATGGGTGTACACATGTACACCTGATAATTTTTGCAAAACAATCAAAGTTAGTAGGCATAATACAAGCAGATCCGAATCCAAACTGTGGTGGAGCTTGTCAATTTTCACGCCTAGGGCCACTACCAAAGCATGTATACCATCAGCACCGGGTCTAATACCAATAATATAACAAAACTAGATTATAAATGCATAAGTTTCGATGATATCTCAATTCCATGCTTAAATCCACAACATAATTGATGGAAGCATAGAAGTGGTTAAAATAATACCTCACTAATGATGGTTTGGTTGTCCCTCGTCTCTCGTATCTTCATCAAGTGAACCTAAACCTATTTTGTCAGCCATTTGCATTGCTAGCTGATTCTTGATAACCTGTGTTTCTACTACTATATACTACTTCTGATTGTGCTTGTGTAGAAGGTTGGTTTCGTAACACTAGTTGTATAATTGGAGGAGCAGGAGAAAAAAAGATTTTAATGTCTTAGTCCTATTCATTGTGCAACTCTACAAAAATCGACCTAATTAATTATCATTCAAAGATTTTTTTAGATCGGGCAGAACCGGAGAGTGGATACGAGAATGGGGAATTTACCAGGGCTCAGACGAGTAGGAGTAGGCGACGAGTACCGCGCGGCCGCGGCCGCGCTCCTGCGGCCCTGGCGGCTGGCTGCTGGCACCCTGCCCACGCCGCGACGGATATGCCGTGTCTCCGGCTCCGGCTCGCCGCTCGGAGCTCGTGGTTCACCAGCCACGGCCAGTGGCCACTGGCCAGTGCGGCTGCGGCCAGGCGGACAGCCGCCCAGCCGCCCAGCCAAGCGCGCCCGGCGCCTCCGACCGCAGAGCAGAGCCACGGACGGACCCTAGCGGCAGGGGCCCGAGCTGCCGGCCGGCGGCTGCTGCTGCCTGCTGGGTTGAGGCGGCGGCGGCCGGCAGGGAGAGCCGGAGAGGAACAGGCGGCCAAACGGGGACTCCCGCTCACGGTCGTGGAGTTGGGGTCGGCCGAAGGGGACGGGAGTCTGGGCCGATTAACTGTGTAGGCCCGCCCACTTTGAAATAGGCCTGAAATTCACATGTACTATAACGAATATTTTTAGGGTCTTGGCTAGTTGGCTCTATGAAATTAGGCACATATATTATAAAAAATATTTTGGGGGCATGTTTAGGGCCTTGGCTCTGTAGTCCCTAGGCCCTAATCCGTCTCTAAATACAAATAATATAAGTTAGAGAAACTCCAGCATAAACCTCAAATCGGGGTCTCTATTCTTTATTTAAGGGCTCTCCCTACTTTTGATGGTCAATTTTCTTTGCATCTACTCCGGTATGAGCTCTTAATTCAAGGTCATCAAATCCATTCAAGTAGACATTGGCATATGGGACACCGGAGATGGCATGGGGAGGGCGAGAAGCACCGGGGCACAGGAAGGGGAGCCATGACTAGGTCGAGTGCCTCGACACAGCAAGGAGAGGAGCCACATTGAACGAACCGTGGAGATAGAGGCAACCTAAGCATGGAGGCATAACACACGCCTTCATAGTGACAAATGGATACAAGGGCCTCGATGTGAAGGTGTCGATAGTGTCGGCAGCCATGGTGACAGTCTTGTCGGTCTCTCTCCATCCCCTACATTTTCCCTTCAGGTGAGCTTGTCGTTGATTTGTATCTACGTCACCCAATTGCAAGCCATGTTGGATCCTTTTTTTTTTCTTTTTGTGCACTGCAATGTGGTTTTGATTTGTGTGGCCTTTGTTTCCTTACCCTGATCTGATGAGAGCGATGCGGATTCGGTGCAACTTTACGAACAAAAGCTACTACCAACGTCGAGGAGGGTCGTCCAAGCACCAAACCCGGGGCATGGACTCCCCAATCTCGAGGACTCCAACTCAGAGGATGGTCAAGGGCGGCAATGAAGGGCTCAGTGGGCCTTGTAGATCTACACAAAGGCTAAGTTGTTTTTAAAAACAATAGGAAAAAAACATTAGAGGCGGGCAAGAAATCTACCTTTGTTAATCGACATTAACAAGGGCTTCATGAGTAGATGCTAATGACACCTCCGTCTTTGAAGTTCATCGTGAACAGCCTCTAATAGCCTTTTTGATAATAGAGGAATCTTCAAACCGTTTTTACTTCCCACAATGTCCTCATAGCCCTCCCTGTTCCTTACGTGACCTGGAACTCGTGCTCGTATGTAAAGGTTATGATAATGCACGTCCAACGATAGTGCGGAGTTCAATTCCAAGTCATATTGAAATACATGATACAATCCATGAATAAATCTTTGAGCAACAAATCATCTACGTGACCATGCAATAAGTTGTATGTTACTATTGTTCTATTGTAACATGCGAATATTTTTTTTAGAATTACACAATACAACGTAGACGCCCACGACATGCACACACGCACATTCATCCCTATGAACATATGTACGCAAATCATACCCCTATGAGCACCTCTAAAACATATTTGCTAGTATAATATTAAAGTGGTGCAAAATCTGTTCTCAAGATGAATTAGAATGCATGACGTGATCAATGATAAATCTCTATGGCTCTTGTATCAGTACAAGTTAGAGCAATGCGTCCAGACACAGTGCGAAGTCTAGTTCCAAAACCAGTTAAAATGACACAATCACTTAAAAATGTTTGATCCGCAAGTTGTCACATAACAAATTGCACTTCCCGTTACAACATATGGACATATTCACTACTCATTATTCATATAAAAATCGGCCAATACTTCAATAATATCGGAATCCGAAAAAAAAAAAAAGGAAAAATGAATGATTTGCGTAAGAGCAAGAGGGTGTTTGAATCCAGGGACTAAAGGTTAGTCCCTCCCACATCGAATGTTTGATGTCAATTAGGGGGACTAAAGATGAGGTAATTATAAAACTAATTGCATAAGGCGTGACTAATTCATGAAACAGGTTTATTAAGCCTAATTAATCCATGATTAGCATATGTTCATTGTATCATCATATTCACGAATTAGTCTGGGCTCATGCAATTAGTTTTGTAATTAATCAATATTTAATACTCTTAATTAGTATCAAACATCTGACGTATTAAGGACTAAAGTTTAGTCACATGTATATAAACGCCCCCTAAGTATGTCATAACAAAGGTCAGTTTGGCAATATATATAGAGTACATGTTGCGAGTAGACAGCTTATTATAGGAGTGTAAAATTGGCGAGGGCAATTTCATGCCAGCTCCGGTGCTAGCAGGCTCACCATCTCCAGCAAAGAACCTACAAGACACCAATGCCAGTCTTCCAGGTGGCAAAAATGAAAACAGAAAAGACAAGGAAAAAAAAAAAAAAATGGAAAACAGAAAAAACAAAAACGAAAGGAGAACCGGGACAACAAAATTACGCGCCAGGTAGGGGTCGAACCTACGGCCTTCTGCTTAGGAAACAGACGCTCTATCCACTGAGCTACAGGCGCTTGATGCTGATTGTGGTCACCGCAGCGAGTAAAATTTATAACCTTTGACAATAGTGACTCTACATACCCATGTCTTTTTTCTCGATCGGGCGTTTAACCCATTTTTCATTAAGAGGAAAGGAGGCAAAGTGCCAACGTTACACAAGCGATCCACAACAGTGGCGAGGGGCTATCGTTAGCGAATCACAACACTCCTAACTACCAGGGTTTCAAATCAAAATTACATCTTAAACAAATTGCGCGACCTAACACTGGCGGCACGAATGGCACTAGAGGCCCGTCGTTTCCGGCCCAGAAAGAGGACTTGCATCGCCTCCCTCATCGACGGCGTCAAGGGCAGGGCGAAGGCCGTCTGGAACTCATCAAATGACACCTCGTAAGGAAGTTGCGTCTCCACCTCCACTTCGAGCCGCTTCATCATCACCTTCCTTGCTTGCGCCTTCGGCTTTGGCTCCCTAAACTTGCTCTTGGCAGCAAGTCGAGCGCTCCTCTTGGGGATCAGGTCCTTGTCCTCGATCGCCCACGCCCGTGCAGCCCTAGTGATCCGCAGGCGTGGCGGTGATGACAGGATAGGCTGTGATAAGGGTTTTCTGAAGTTGGTGATGAAGTCATCGATCGGCATCGCCGGTGCCTTTGGGGCTGGGGTGTCGAGCCCTACATCCATGAACTTAGAGTTCTCGGCTAAGGGGCGGAGAGGAGAACTCGGCCTGCTTCATCATGATGGTGGGTGGTGGGTGGGCTGGCGAGCTCTGGCTAGAGCTGCACTCATCACTACCAGGCGATGAAGAGGTGGCCGGGCCATTTGCCCACGATACTGGAGGCACGACCGATGACCGAGCAACAAGCTCTGTGTGATAGAACCGCCCAATTTATACAAGATCAAGTACGGTTGTCCCTGTTTAACATGTTGACGCACACGTACTTTCACTTATATAAACTCGGTAGTCCGTTGAATGTCACGAAGGACCTTGGTAAATCCACATCACAACCAATATCTCACGATTAAGCAAATACACATCATATACATAGAGTTGCAGCGAAAATAATGGTTACAATGAGTTCACAAATAATAATACAAGTTTGGATTTCAAAACCGATTAGTGAAAACAACATAGCTTTCAATTTATTACAATAATATAAGTTCCAAATACATTGCTATCATACGTGATATCCTCTATCAAAAGCATATAGATAAGAACACTATATAGAGTCGCTGAGCCCACCGGTGGTTAGCCACCATCTTCAGTAGACCGAGAATTTCACCTGCAACATGGTGGGATAAACCCTGAGTACTCAAATGTACTCAGCTAGACTTATTCGTCATAAACCAAAAATAAAGTGACACCATCATGCAAGGCTATATAAGTGGAGCTAGACACCATTTTGCATAAAAAGCCACTAATTAAGCTATATATTTTATAATTTGGTCATCAAGTTAATTATAGATATTCATCTCTAGATTAGCAACTAACCTATGCTAAACATGTGGTATATCATTTAGTAGCATAACAATAGTAACCATAGCCGGTGTAAGATTTTCATATTCGTCAGAACCATCATATTCCATAATCCAATTACTACGATGAAGAAGCTCCATCAAGTTTCTCACTATCCGGGAGAGACGACGATTCGAATCGATTGCAACCAGCTAGGCAGTTATTCCTAACACAAACCCACACTTTCTCCATCGGGGTCGCGTCGGGTCACCTTTGGTATAACTCAGGTCTATATTTTACGGGTTCGATCAGCGCTGCACAACCAGGGACAACCAACTGCCAGGACATTCAGACCCGGCCTGCCCTTGGGCTCATGTCTGGCTCCCCACACATCCTTACTACCATCTAGAGTGCGCACTTTGATAGAACGAGGCCTAGCCTGAGTTGAGCTACTCGGCTTCACGATTGGAACGAGTTATCCGGCCAGCTAAGTGAGAGGCATGCGTTCAAAATGACAAGAGGGCCTCCAACGATGCGGTCCTTAATCGGCACAGACGAAATCACATGAGTCAACCTACATATAGACTCCGCCCGACCTCTAGTTACATTACCCTATGGTTCTATTCCATGATAGCAAATATAGCCAACCGTGCTCTGGTAACCACCTATATCTCGTAGGTGATAGGAAATCACCCAACTTCTACCGGTCTAAGTATTGCTAAGCATATATTCGATCTTGGACCTATACAAGGTTAAAGATATATATATCTAGACAAGATAGTTCTATGCATTAAGTGTTTTCAATCAACTCCTATAACCTAATGCATCAAACATAAAGGACGCAAGTGATATTTGTAAAAACATAGGAGGCTTAGAATGCTCCGGGGCTTGCCTAGGATCCAACATAAAGTTAGTTCAATTAGCTTGCACCGTCTTGGGGAACATCTTCCACTCTAGGCATGCACTCCAGGGGTCCTTCCATCTTCAGAATAGGTCCACCAACACCGTCTTCTGGTTCGACTCCATTATCACGTGCTTCACGTCCACGCGTTGTGCATCTAGCGCACCTAGATGAGATGCAACAATGCCAGTGCATGAATGCGAAGAATGGTAACATGAGATGTATCATATAAAAGCATTCAAGATAAGTATAATGTTACACCTCAAGACATATGCACTTAGAGAGCAAGTCATTTAACTAACTATCACTCAAGTCTAGCATAGGGGTAGCAAGCATAACAAGCATGGAACACCAGTTAACTCAAGTCAAACTATTACAAGCATTTAACAATCAAGAACTAATTAAGCCTAGCATCACATAAGAACTAGGGCTGCGGTGAACGACACCAACATAATTAAAGCTCTAGCAAAACATGCATCAAGATCATTTTGTGGCAACATGCATACATGACCATTTATTAGTTATGTGCTTGACCAACATTATATAACACATTTATAAGATACCTCAAGTAGATGAATTTAACTCTAGTAGTGTCATGAGCTAACACTAACAAGCATACAAAGCAATGCAAAGTGAAGCAAACAACTTTCGTTACATGCTTAGATTCTGGGCAGCAGCACAACAGTCACTTGTTTCAACCATAATTAGAGCTATAGGCATCAAACAAAGATGATACTAGACTTTTTTGAAAGATTAGTAAATTGTCTACAACTTTGTTATTTACACCTAGAGCTGATTCAAAGGTTAACAAGGGTGAAAAACACTAACAAGCCAATCTGCTCAAATTAGGACAGAAAACTGACATGAACTTCAGAAATGCATAACTGGAGTTTTAATCATCCAACAAATATGATTTTTAACTTTATAGAAATATTATTAAGTTACTTATAACTTTCTTATTATTATCTTAAGATGATTCTACAGCTAACAAGGTTAAACAACCCAATAAAGACATCTTTATCTAGATTTAGACAGAACCTGCCATTCCACTTTGAATAGCAATAACTAGAGTTCTAGACCACCAAAAGCAGTGATCTTAGATATTTTAGAAAGATTAGGAAAATCACTACAACTCTCCTATTATCACGAATACATGATTCTATGTTTAAAAAAGTCAAACAATACAATCATTTAGATTTGTTCAGATGCCATGCAAAAGCTGATAGCAAACTTATAAAATCTATAACTCCTAAACAAACAATCCTAAAATCATAAAATTTTAGGACAAGCAAGATAAGGAAATTATATACAACTTTTGTATTCAATATATCTACAGAAAACATCATTTGCATCATGAAAATATCACCACCATAGAAACTATACATGCGGCCATTTTCAACACATAAGCAAAAATGGATTTTCACTTGATTCTATAACAAGGTGACATAAAAGCACATCCAACACATAGATATAAGCCATCATGAGGAACCCATACAACCTCATCTCAAACCAACACATGACATTAGCATCACAAGAACCATGTATAAACATCTAATAAGAAAAGCACATGCTCCTTCAAAGTTTAATTAACATGCAACTAATAAAAAGGTGATGTTGCAAACATTATATTTGGAGACTAGGTTTTTATGAGAGAGATATGATAACAAAGCATGGCTACTGTACAAATTTTATATGCTCAAGTTTTATAAATTAACTATTACATGCAAAACAAGTTTTAATTGTAAATAAGCATGTGAGAGCAAGACAAATGTAAACCTCCACATTTTCTGTAAACACATGACCAAATTAGGTTTGCTTAGGTTACCACCACACCATTCATAGGCAATGGAACAACATTTTCCATTTTTTACAGCTTTATGATATTTATCAAGCATTTACAACCACTTATCAAGCACCTAGCAAGATAAATTAATAACTCAGTAATACATGCAAAAAAATCATGAAATTTTAACCAGATCTCATGCATCAAAATTAAAATTTCATGCCATTTGGAGCACTACAACTTTAGGTATGAGAATAACAAGCAAAACAAGCTAAAATTGCCTATTTAACAAGATTAAGTCAAAACATTATAAAAACAGTACATAATTAGCATGTTTAATATTTTTATTAGCTAGAGCATGTAATCACAAGATTAACATAACTAGAATTACCATTTTTGGACTTCTATAACTCAAGATATGCATCTGTTCAACTTAAAAGCATTTTTAAAAGCACTTTACAAGAATAAATAAAAACAGCAGAAACTTTCTACTAATACATATCATATTATGACTCTATTGCGTAGCTCTACTTTCAAGGATTCCAAAAAGTCTTTATTTGCTATTTTATGATTTTTCTATGATTTATTATGATTTTCCAAAGTTTTAGCTCAATTAAAAGCAATAAATCAAAAACACATTTGCATTGGAGACCCTGAACTTTCCTCAAATACCGATTCCAACGAGCAGGTCCTTCTAGGCACTATTCATATGAGTCATAGACCTTGCAGATAGGCTCTTTTCTTTCTTTGAATTCTTGCGCGAGGTCCTTCTTCTTCTATCGAAGAATAGAGCAAAGTGGGCGGCCATGGCTTCGGGATTCCGGCCTGTGGAAAGGCCGACGACGGCGAGGAAGGGGGTGGCCGGGCTCTGGCCATGGCCGTGCCTGGCCCTAGCCTTGGCTAGCTATAGCTAGGAGCTGCTCGATCGTGGTAATAGGCGGCGGCGATGGACATGGCTTCGGCGACGGTTGTGAGCAGTGGCGCGGTCGGCAAGGTGGCATGGGACGAGGGAGGAGGCGACGATGGATCCGGTAGTGGCCTTAACTAGGTGTGACTGCATGAGGGTGGCCAGCGGTGGGAGGAGCGAGTAGGGCTAACGAGCTCTGCTCGATTGGACCGTCTAGTGGCGAGACCGAGAGAAAGAGGGTGGGAGAGCGAGTGAGCCAGAGAGAGAGAGCTGAGGGCGCTAGGTCTTCGTTTTCTCGAGCAGGGGGGCGAGGTGGCGCACATGTGAGGGTGTGAGGGAGCCACATGGCCTGTGGTGCCGACGCGTGGCCGAACGACGGCACTGCTTCCTACCGATCCAAACGGTCAAGGGATCGACTGAAACTGCCAACTTCCCCATCTTCTATCTCCCGATCCGATTGTCCTGTGATCACGGCTCAAGAAGCAAAGTTGTAGATCTTTGTGAGGTGAACAACATTGATTTAAGGATCAAGAGCTAACTCGGCCTAGATTTGGAGATATGGATCTTCAAAGGAGGATACCCAAAAATGGAACTC